CACACACCTGACTAACACTTATAACAGTGGGCTTGCAGAGGAAGCCAACAAAGTGGGGGAACTGAAAACACTCTCTCATTCTCTAGAAAAGCCTCGTTAGGGAAGGTTCTCGGCGGCATCATGGAAGCCCAGAACAGCAGGTACAAGAGGGAATGGGAGTCAGACCTAGACAGTGACACCAGCTCTGAGTCAGGCGTGGACGCAGGCACGACCACAGAACTGACAACGGCTAGCGACAAACTTCAAGGGCTTGAGGTGCCTCACCACTGGGAAGACGGTGTGTTAAGCTTTCACTGTTCGTCCAAAGTTTATTAAAGGTTTATTTTATGCCTGGCACTCTGTAGTGAATAGCATATGCATGGCTCAAAGTGTTTCACATAAATTAATTTTCCAGACCACTGAAAGTTTTGATTTCTTAATCTTAAATACTATCAATGGAACATTTTCCAGTGTCCTATTAGTTACACAGTTTTTGAGCTGCATACTCAACAGTTTATGCTTTACTGATAATGTGGGGTCACCGTCTGTCTTAGGGTTGCCAGATAAAATACAGACTACATAGTAAATGTGGATATCAGATAAAAACAGGTGATATTTTGGGCATACTTCAAATTCAACTGGGTGTCTTATTTTTATATGTTAAATCTGGCAACCCTCCCGTAATTATATGGTGCTCTAGTAATACAGTGATGCCTCAGGTGCAGCTGGACCGATTGTCCTGACACTTTAGTGGCTCAAGGCTTTTGTGCATTATTTTTGTAGCCATTTTTACAGTCCCTTTCTTTGCTATACAATGATTGGCTTGCTTGTTGTAGTCACTATATAGCATCTTCAATTCCCTTTTCCCTCTTCTACTTGATTCTTCTAATTGGTTTGGGCTGGGAAATAAGATCCCCAAACACGACTGACTTTTCTCTAAAGTAAGAGTAAATGGTTTCTGAGTGAGGATAGAGGTACTTGATGGCACCTACTTAAGAAAAGCATCAAGTTTTAAAATAATGGCTTCATAAAAACTTATTTTGACTGCCCAAAGACTATGCTGTGGTTTCTTTGAAAGTCCCTTAGGATGAGTGAATCACGGCTTATTTCCTGGACTGCGTTGTTCTTCATAGAGCACTGTACAATTAGAAATGAGCCTCTGACGGAGAAGAGATTAAAGCTAGATATAGGAGAATTTGCAGTTGCATTTTAACCACAGGATTTTGGATGTTGATCCTGAAAATCTCTAGGAAGAGTGAAACAGATACTAACTTGGCTTGAGTATTTTACAGTTAATTATGCCTTGGAGCTGGGAACTAGTCTAGGTGACCCCTTGAAATCACTCACAGATATATGGTTTTGATTAATCTATGACTATCCAATCAAATCAAAATAATGACTACATCCAAAATAATGAAACCAAAGTAAAATTAGCCATATCATAGCTACAATGGAAACTATGTATTCTAATATGTATTCCAAATATGGTTCTTAGAAGAGGTTCCGGCCAGCCTGCAAAACCTTATGTGGAAGGAATTACAATGTCTATTCTTCCCTACTGCACTCATTTACACAATGATTAAACTTTTTTTTTTTTTTTTGCTGTAGGCAATGCTCGTTCTGAATACAGATTCGAAGTGATTCCTGAATTAGAACTGCTATTCCAAAGCTGAGCCTCTGATTACTCAAAGTCAGCATGCAAAGTCAGCAAACACCTCTCCACACCTTACATATTTGCATTTATCTTTAACAACAGAAAAATTGTTTGAAAATGATTTATGGTATAAAAGGGATCTTTAGGCTCAGGATGATGATGTTTTATGTCATCCAGCTATGTCTACTTTTACTGGCTTTAGTCAAAGAATGACTCATCAGAATCAGATCCTGAGGAATATTTTGGGAGGTGCTAGGAAAGTCTAATACCAAGCAGAGCCCAGCATCTTGGTAAAACAGTTTTTCTTCAGAGACTTCTGAGATTATACAAATGAGGAAATGCTTTCTAGGCTGTCACAAAACCATCCTAATAATTTTAAGCCTCTGAAATTTGAAATTTATTGTGACTCAACAAGAGCAATTTTGGTCTGTGTAGGTCACTGGAGCCATTAGCTGTACTGTGTATTTAAATTCATGTGACCTGATTCAACTTATTAATGTTTTAAATATAGTTTTCTTTTCCTCTTGATCAATAAAATACATATGCACTTCTAAACTACGCTAAAACTTGCGGGCTTTCATGTATTGTTTTTGTTTTTAATTTTAACCTAAAAAAGTTTAAAGTTTTTTTCTACAACAGCTTTTTTTCTGCCCTGAAGGAGTTGCTATAATATTTTAGTGACTATCTATCTTAAGAGACAAGGATAATGTGGGCTACCGGGAGAATAGGACAATTTAAAAATGTTTAAGAAACATTCAGTAATGGGGCACCTGGGTGGCTCAGTCCATTAAGCATCTAACTCTGGCTCAGGTCATGATCTCCTGGTTCGTTGAGTTCGAGCCCCACGTCAGGCACTGTGCTGACACCTTGGAGTCTGCAGTCTGCTTCAGATTCTGTGTCTCCACCTCTCTCTCTGCCCCTCCTCTGCTCACACTTCATCTCTCTCTCTTTCTCTCTCTCAAAAATAAACTTAAAAAAATAGAAATATTCAATAAATACCTGTTGAAGTGTGCAAGTTACTATGCTATTGACAAGGAATTAATACAGTGGTAGGAGAAGCAGATTCATGAACAGAATTATATTTCAGTGTTGTAAGAGTAATGATGAAGATCTGCAGATGGGTATCTGTCTCTTTGTGAAGCTATAAAACTAATTCAGCCTTGAAGTGTTGGGGGAAGACTTCCTATAGGAGTTAATACCTGGGTTGAGTCTTAAAGAATAAGTAGTCAGGGGAAAAATGTGGAGTAGAGAGCCTGAGTAAAGACACAAGTGATGGGAAAGAGTTTCCCTTGTTCCTCTTAGCTTCTGAACAGGCTCCTTAGTCATTGGTAATAGGTGAGGCTGTCCCAGCCTTTCACTGTTTAATAACAGAGAGCCCTTTGCAGATATGCTGTGCAGTGGTGATTGCATGGGCAGCTGTTAGTACTAAAATGTCAAGTTTATCAGATATCCCATACTCCCTTTCCATAAAACTCTTTTCTCATTTTCCAGGCAGTGTGGGGTAATGCAAATGATAACCGCAATCCCCTGTATTGCAGCTTTCCTAGGGCTGTCATAACAAAGTATCACAGACTGGTTGGCTAAAACAGCAGAAATGTATTATTTCAGTTCAGGAGGCTAGAACCGAGATCAAGGTATATGTGGGGTTGGTTCCTTCTCTGGACTGTGAGAAAGAATCTGTTATATGCCTCTCTTCTAGCTTCCGGTGATTTTCTGACCATCTTGGGCTTTTCTTGGTTTGTAGATACATCTTCAGGTTCACATTATGTTGCCTGTTTCCAAATTTCCTCTTTTTATTGGGGTACCTGTTATATCGTATTAATAGCCAGCCCTACTCCTGTGTGGCTACATCTTAACTAGTTATATCTGAAATTACCCTCTTTCCAAACATGGACATATTGGAAGATACCTGGGGTATCAACATGTGAATTTTGAAGAGACACAATTTAACACAATTTAACTCAGTCCCTTTACAATGTAAGTTCCATAATTTAAGGTAAAATCTTAATTTCAGAAAATATTTACCAGGAATATAAATGGTTTTTGTTATATTCTTTCCATGGCTTAATCTTTTTCTACTTATATGTGTATTCTGTTAATTTCAGCATATCATAGCTTTTATGTTTCATGGTGTTTAGAATTTAGCAAAAAATTACCTATACATATATTAAGTGTCAGAGTTGAGTTGTTGTTTTATTAAATGTGATCCTTTTCAAAAGATCTTTCCCAAACAGTATATCTTAAAATTAGTGCAGCTTAGTTGTTGACACAATGTGATCAGGACTGCTAATCTGTAAGGTGTTGAAGGAGTAAATAAAACAATAATATATTAAACTAATGTCAAAATGCTATAAGTAATAATAGACAAAATGGCACAAACTATCTTTCAATTACCGAATAAATGATAGGAATAAATAAGCATTGGAAACGAGTATTTGATAGCCATGATCATTTGATAACATGGCATTCACATAAGTAACTTGTTTCCTTTTGGACTGGTGATAGCTTCCCTAGGCAAAAGACTGGTGACAGTTTTTTTTTTTTACATTATTAATGCCCTATTTGATTCTTATTTTAGATACCTGTATAACAGTACAACTTTTACAAAAAGTTGTCTGCTTATGAAATGGGTTCATTACCTACTTCCTAGACACTTCATTAGGTTTTTTTTTTTTAATTTAATTCTTATAGTTCACAAGTTATACTACAATATTCAACAGATAATACATTTTCTGGTATCACTTGCTTTTTATCCAAAGCTAAACAGTTTGGTTTTTCAAATCTATTTATTTACAGGGTAAAGCTGGTGCAGCCACCTGGGAAGGCAAAGCATCCAGTTCAATCAAGGATCCTGTAATCTGATACTATTACTGTTCTTCCTTGCTGTCCTAAATATGTTCCATAATATTATTTCCTATGCTCTCATTATGACAGGTTTCTGTTTCGGCTCTCTTATTACCGAAATTATCTGTCTTAGATATTAGGTTGACTAAGTTTTCTATTACCCGTTTGTTAAATCATTGTGGGGATGGTATCAGAACAACTGTGTCCTGACATTTAAAGGTCTTTTAAGTCTGTTTTCTCCACCAGTACGCTTTCCTCTCTCTCACTCTTTCACAGCCTTTTCTTTTTTCTCTTTTGCTCAGTTCCTTTTACACTCAGGCTGTGCAGGGGATTTAAATTCCAACCCGGAACTCGGAATGGCGCGCCTTGAATGACGGGAGTCGTAGTTTTCGTGACCCCACCGTAATCGCTTTGCACGCCTATTCCCTTCCACGGTGAAAAACTACAATTCCCAGAACGCACCTGCGGGGTGTCCAACCCCCCCCCTTGCGCACGCGCTCTGAGGCCGCAGAATTTGAATCGGCGGCGTTGTTATTGACGCCATATTGGGGCCGGCGGCGGGTGGAATAGTCGTACAGTGGAGGGGGAAGCGGCTGGACGTGTTTCCCTGAGCTCCTGCCGCCGCCGCCGCCGCCGCCTCGTAATCCCTCCACATCGACTGCCGCTCTCAAGCTGGTGACCTTACTCGGGCGTATTTGTAGCCGCGTTCCAGCCTCATACCTCACCGGGCTGGTATCGACTTTTGAAGGGAGCCGGTCTCAGCGCAGGAGCGCCTCGGGCGCGGCGCAAAGCTCGAACGGACGGCGGGGGCGGCCGGAGTCTCTCCCCGGGGAGCTGCGCCTGAGGAGGCGGAAGAGCCCCCCTGACGCGGCTGTCGTGAGCGGCCGCCACCGCCCCTCCCGTTCTCGCCCGGGCTGGCCGGGCCACTGCCCCTGCCGCGGAGGCAGCGGCGGCCGCGGCTCTTACCTCCTCACCGGCGCTCCGTCGCTCGCCTTTCTGCTCTTGAGCCCGTCGCTTAGGCTCTCCTCGAGTCCCCGCTCTCCCCCCCACTTCCCTAGCCCTCCCCTCCCGTCACCCTTCCCCGACCCCACCCGAGCCGGCCCTCGGCTGCCCCGGCCATGGCGTGTGGAGCCACTCTGAAAAGGACTCTGGATTTCGACCCACTGCTGAGCCCGGCGTCCCCGAAGCGGAGGCGATGTGCGCCATTGTCGGCGCCCACCTCGGCTGCTGCCTCTCAGTCGTCGGCGGCCGCTACCGCCGCCGCCTCCTTTTCGGCTGCCGCCGCCTCGCCGCAGAAGTATCTCCGAATGGAGCCGTCCCCCTTTGGCGACGTCTCCTCCCGTCTCACCACAGGTGGGACTCGGCCCCGCGGCCGCCGGGGTGGGCGAGAGAACGGGGATCCCGGGACGCGGAACGCGGCCCCAGGGGTGGGGGTGCCGGGCTGGTGCTCGTTCTTAGCAAAGTAGTAGACACATTTCTTTTAGTTAGGTCCTCCAGCCTCGGCGACACAATAGAAATGGCCTGATGTCAAGGGGGTGGGGGAGTCGGGAGGTGGGGAGGCAAGGCCGTGCCTTGCCGGGTATTGTGGGGAAGAGGAAGATCTTTTCTTTGGGCTGAATGACTGGAATTGAGTGTTTCCGTAGTCTGGAGAGCCCCAGCGGAAATGATCAGAGACGGTGATATTATTCATAAATTTAGGCGAGAGAAGGGTCACATTTCACCCGAATCTCGATGTCTGTCTCCTTGAATCGATTGGTTGCAGCTATTAACTGTGGGACTGATTGGTTTGAGGCGAGTCGGCAGCCCCTCCTCCGGTTCAGACATGGCTGATTTTAGTACCGAGGGGGTGGGGGGTGGGGATGGATGTCACTGGGGCGAGATCTAGGCCTGTCATTAATCACCCACAAGAACGCCACTTTGGCTGAGTCAAGACCTGTTTCCCTAGCAGGGTCAACAACAAAGAAAATGCTCTTCCCGAGTTCTGTAATATGATCGTACTATACGTCTAGATCCTGAGAAACTTGAACTTTTAATGAAAAGCGAATTGTATTGAAAATTGGGGCTGAGGAGTTGCTCCTAGTTGGAGGTGCTTTATTTCTTCTGCTCAACAAAGTGTGGTGGGGGCGAACAGCCTAGGCCTTGAGAATAATAAAGAAATCAACCCAAGATTCCAAGAGACTTGAGTGTTTTTGCTTTTCATCTTGAAACGTTTCCTGAAAGTGACTATGGGGGAATGCCTTTTGGCGCTTTATACTGCATGTGTATACTCAGTTTTTTCTGTACTTTAAAAATCCTTGCGTACCCCCGGCACAGTCCTAGGGATAGGCTTTTGTGGACTGGTGGTGTAATCTGTTTTCTTTGTGTGTATAGCATGCAAAGGTTTCATGTTTGAGCCTTTGGTGGTAATTTATACAGACAAAGCCTTTTCATAGTTTTAGGTGTTTTGTTAGTTTTTAAAAAATCTGTGGGCAGTGTATATTTCTATAGTTTGTAACTTCCATTTTGAATTGATTTGGTCAAGTCAGATTTTAAATATCCTCCCTCAAATGCGTAGGCTACCATTTTTGCTATTAAATATTTGAGCTAACTTAAGGATATACTATTTTAGAGTTGTGGTGAGTTTTCAGAGGCGTTCTCAGATAATTTTATTTAGCAGCCATGCCTAAACTGTCTTGTATGTAAAGGCATTCATTGGTTTACTGTTGGGCATTGCATTAAAAAAGAAACCATCAGTGTTAAGAATTAGCTTCTGGTGATTAACATTATGTTTAGAGTTTGTCTTTTTAATCAAATGGTATCATTGAAAATTGAAGCGATACCTAGGAATCTGTACTTAACAAATAAGGCCACTTAAAAATAGCCCTGGCTAACCAGCCATAAATTTCAGTGGAGCTGGTGAATTAATACGTGTTAGGTTTGGGAGTTAAAGTATATCTCAGTGTTGCAGTAGTTCTGAGCATATGTGGTAAACTGGCCAGAAACTGTGTTTGTCTTCACTTTAAAGGAACTTATTCAGAAAGAATTGTGATCCTTTACAAATTTGTCATTTCATTGATGTATTTGTAGCGTTGTTTAATGCAGTTCGTTCCACGTTGTCACAAATTTCAGTTGAATGGACTATAATAGTAAAATGACTGGAGTCAGTGAAATTGTTTAAGCCTGATTTCACATATACACATTTTCCAAAATATTGCTGTCTTCTGTTCTTCCAGGTGTTTTTGACCTCTGGGAGTTTGATCATGTCCTGAACTCTTAAAATCATGCCCTAATTGATAATTTCGAGTCTGCTAAAAGTTGATTTAGCTTTTTCAGCTTAAAAAGTTGACTTGAGGGGCGCCTGGGTGGCTGGGTCGGTTAAGCGTCTGACTTCAGCTCAGGTCATGATCTCATGGTTCGTGGGTTCAAGACCCGCGTTGGGCTCTGTGCTGACAGCTAGCTCAGAGCCTGGAGCCTGTCTTTGGATTCTGTGACTCCCTCTCTCTGACCCTTCCCTGCTCACGCTGTCTCTATTTGTCTCTCAAAAACAAATAAAACATTAAAAAAAAAAGTTGACTTGAGAAAAGCAGTTGAAAAATTGCTGAAGTTTTAAATTGTTAAAATCGACTTTTTTTTTCTCTGTAATTTTGAATGACATTCTGCATGTAATTTAATTTGGCTTTGTTTTTAGATGGCCAGTTTGCGCAGGCTCCTGTATGGTTTTTGTGATAATGTTGTCATAATGGGAGCTGCAGTGTTGTGCAGGTATCAAAGAGCTTTTCGGTTTTCATGTCCCCAAACATGGAAATAATCTTCCCAAGCATTTAATTTTTAGATCCTTGTTTCAACAGTGGTGAGTCTCAAACTTTACAAGAGCGACTATCTGTATATCCTTTGCTGAAATAAGTAGCTTGGGTTGGAAATGGAAAGTGACTTGCCAAGTTGAGATTGACTGGGACTCTGCGGAAACGGTTTTCCTTTCATTTCTGAGTTCAAATATAGTTTAAACAATTTAGAAATAGAGTACTAAAGTGAATTTTTTTCAGAGCATGCATATAATTTAGCGTTTTATCATCATTCTTTTTTGGATACTAAAAAGTGTGTTTTGATGTGTAGCTGAAATCATGTTGTGGCTTTACTAGTAGTTTCAGGAACTTGAACATTTGTTTTAAACCGAGCTTTATTTTAGTCATCCCAAGAAGGTGATTCCAAAGTTTGCCTTGGTGACTGTTTGAATCTTTGGTTTTCAAACTGTTGCAGCCTAATGCCAGGAAAAAGGAAAAGGCTGGCAAAAAAAAAAAGTTTTATTGTAATACATGCTCTTTTTTTCCCCCCCTTAAAGTATTGTCCATCGCAAGCTACAACAGCAGAGCTAGTACTTGTGACTTGTGACAGTAAATACTAATATTTACTGCCTAATCCTTTACAGAAAAAGTGTGTCCACCCCCTCTGCTCAGTCAGCAGTGAAGTTTATAATACCCAGGATGTGAAAAAGGGAAAAGTTAATGATAGGGAAGGGTAGGGGATTGACTAGTTGGGAAAATGAAGACGTCTACTAGCTGCATCAGTACTCACCCTGGTAAATTAGTTGACAACAGATTTCAGAGTGTTCTGTATACTTCTTCATTAGTTTTTGAACCATCTCAGAATATTATCTCTTGGCCAAAGATTGTCACAACATTCCCAAGAACAAAATTATTTTAATAAAACTGAAATATCCTGTACCATTACGAGTGACTGTCAGTCAAAGCAAACACATTGTTTTTCATAATTGTGTACGGAATGAATGGTTTGGTGAAGAGATCCTTCTATGGATGTCAACTATTTGGGAATTTGCTCAGCATTTTTATTATACACATTGTTTAGGTCTTGTTACCATTGCTCTAGTCTTAGGAATTGAGTTGGATGAAGAGTTAAATTCCTTTGTAAGAACTCATTGTATTTGCTGGAAACTTGCCATTAAAAATGGAAATTGCAGCTTGTGAATGGGGAAGGGTTTACAGGAACTTAGATTGTTCAGTAGACATTGATGCATGCCTGCAAACGGAGACACCAGCTGGCTTAAATGAAGTATAAACGGTTCTAGGCAAACAAATGAGATGTCTGTTGCAGGAGGCAGCATTTCACTTCAGATGTCATTTATTTTGAGCCAGAAGTGTTTTTAATATTTTGTGGTTATTTAGACAGCTGTTAAGTTGCTTCTAGTTTCTCAGTGGATTTGGCAAATAGATGGTTTTTAATGGGCTTTGTACTTCAAATTTTAAACCTGATATTTTACTTAGAACTGTGTATGCAGCTGCAGTTATTTCATATTTCTATGGATTATGCATTTAAGAATCTTGTAAAGTTTATGGCCTTTAAGAGCAGAGTATAGCAGTGTTCATTACTGAGCTTCTTTTTTTTTTTTTAAATAGAAAAATAAAGCCTAACTTGAGCACAGAAACAATATGGTAAAATGGCTAGGTCAGAGAGAGGTTAGCCCTTCATTAGGTTTACATGCTGGTAGTTACCATTATTGCCACAGACACATAATCTGAGAGGTAAAGGAGAATAATAAATTTCTTGAGTTTTTGAATGGCTTCATAGGGAAAAAAATACACTGGCTAAGAACTCAGGTAGATCTTATCCTAAGTGTTTGATGGACCCAGGAGAGAGAGAGAGGAGAGAGCATGTGCTGGGGAGGGGCAGAGAGAAAGGGAGAGACCATCCCAAGCAGGCTCCATGCTGTCTTGGCGCTGGAACTTCATGAACCGTGAGATCATGCCTGAGCCGCAATCAAGAGTCAGAGGCTTAACCGACTGAGCTACCCAGGCGCCCCGAAAATCACTTCTGTTTTAAAAGGTTGTAAGTTAAGAAATTAAGTGGAAGTGCCCTGCTTTGCATATTTTTTTCTATTTGAAAATAAACTTTTCATTCTCCTTCCATGTTAAAGAAGAGTGCAGAATGATAACATGGATTAGGTTTGGACCTCTTAGATAGGTGCTTATGAAACTAGATAATGGTGTTGGGGTGTTGGTTAAGTACCTGTAACTAATTAACCAGCAAGTTGTGGTCCCTGCAGTCTTTGCATTAACTCTGTGGTAGTACTGTTGACTCACAGATATTCTCTAAGCACACGTGAAACCACAGTGAATTACTTGCCTTTTAAAAGACTACTTTGGGGGTGCCTGGGTGGCTTAGTCGGTTAAGCGTCCAACTTTCGCTTGGGTCATGATCTCGCGGTTCATGGGTTCGAGCCCCGCGTCGGGCTCTGTGCTGACTGCCAGCCCAGAGCCTGGAGCCTGTGTCTCCTTCTCCCTCTGACCCTCCCCCGCTCACGCTGTCTCTCTCTCTCAGAAATAAACATGAAAAAAAATAAATAAATAAAAAAAAATAAA